CTATTAAATTTTGAGATGAAATAGGACACAATTTATTGCTGTAAAAATTAATACTTTTATTATAGAATTATTATAATACAATTATTGACCAAATCTATATATTGCAAACAATCATACACATTGTTTCCCAAATCAGCAAGCTCATAATGCCATAATAATTAATTCATTGTAAATAATGGAGGTTATAATTGAATTTATTATCTAAAAAATAAATTCTTTATATTCACAAAATATCGATAGTTGGTAGTAGAGATAGATTAATTTAAGTTATCCTTATAAAATTTCTGAAAAGAGTATCAATATAATTATAAAGGTGAAAATAATAATAAAGAGACACTGCCGTCAAGGCGGTGGATTATTTTTAGGGGGTAGGCAAAGGTTTTTAAGGGGGTTTGCATCCAGTGAAAATCCTGTCATGTAGACGCTGATTGAGATGTATAAATGTTATACTTGATAGACAATTTAATTCATGTATGATAATATCAATTTACTAAAATAAATCTGAACAAAGAAATTAGTAAAAGTAAATTTCATATTGAGCATCCAATTTTTGACATCCTTGTTTTTTTTACCCTTTATATATGATATTTATTTAACATGTTAATATAAAATAATAAAAACAATCATTTATCAACGATATCAATTTTAAGTTAATCGATCAAAGTGTTAACAAAATAATAAAAGAAACTATTAAGTTAATAGACAATATTATAATGTAAAATAAAAGAAATAATAAAAAATCAGCCGACAAATTAATAGGTTACTTTACGGTATAAATTAATTTAAATGAATATATTAACACAATGCCTGCCATATTTTATTTGATAAAAAAAATTAATATTAGGTGTTAGGTGGTAAACCCAAATTTATGATAGATAGATTCCATCTTTCTATATAATATTTGACCTGGCTTTGATCGATTTAATTAGATAGAGTTCGATTGGATATATTGATAGTAGTTGTTAGGTGGTTGTAATAAATTAATAAATGATTATTTATGTATATTGTATATTAAACAGAATCGAACATTCGAAAAATAATAATAAAAAAGTTTGATGTTAAAAATTAATTTAAATATAAATTAGTAGTCGTATTGTTTATAATTTAGTAGTTGGTATTACTACAAATGGCGACGAGGATGGGATCAGCGTCTACATGAGCGGGAGGGGTAGGAACAGTTTGCATCCTATTTTTTTGAGGGGGGTAGGGGTTAGGCTGCTATAATGGGGGTAGGATAAATTTTTTGGGGGCTTATCTATTAAATTTTGAAATACAAAATTTATTGCTGTAAAAATTAATACTTTTATTATAGAATTATTATAATACAATTCATCGACCAAATCTATATATTGACAACAATCATACACATTGTTTTCCAAATAAAACTTTCTGCTATCCTTTTAAATGTAATTTAAAAGGTTGATATTTCAGCAAGCTCATAATGCCATAATAATTAATTCATTGTAAATAATGGAGGTTTTAATTGAATTCATTATCTAAAAAATAAATTCTGTATATTCACAAAATATTGATAGTTGATAGTAGAGATGGATTAATTTAAGATAAATTATCTAAAAAGAGTATCAATAAATTAAAAAGGTGAAAATAATAATAGACAGACACCGCCGCCGAAGGCGGCGAAAATTTTTTAGGGGGTAGGCAAAGGTTTCTGAAGGGGGTTTGCATCCAGTGAAAATCTTGTCATGTAGACGCTGGATGGGATATATACGTAATTTTGCAGTGCGAATACATTTAAAGGATACCGCTGTACCAAGATCGTTTCCAGCCCGTAGGGTACCATTTCCACTTCGCAAAGCAATTGAAATGGAATTAGACCGATTAGTAGCTGCAGGAATTATTGAAAAGATTGATTCGACTATAACCAGGGTACAGTGGTCAACGCCAACCGTAAATGTACGCAAGAGTAATGGCGATATTCGAATTTGTGCTGATTTCAAAGTTACACTCAATCCGTGTTTATTATATGACCATCATGTTATTCCTACCTTAGACGATTTATTAGAGAAAATCCAAGGTGGTGATAAATTTACCGTGATAGATCTGAAAGATGCGTATTTACAGATGGAAGTAGAATTGGAATCCCAGGAACTACTAACGATAGTGACTCATAAGGGCTATTTCCGTTACCGACGATTGCCATTTGGATTGGCAAGTGCACCAGCTATATTTCAAAGATATATGGATGAGTTACTAAAAGATTGCCAAATGACTGGTGTCTATTTAGATGACGTAATTATTTCTGGTCGAAATGATGAGGAGCACTTAAATAATTTGCGAATAGTGTTAGACAGATTACAAGCAGCAGGTCTTAAGGCGAAATTAACAAAAGTGAAATTTTTACAAAAATCGGTTTCATTTTTAGGAGTGATAATTGATAAATTCGGTATACATCCTAACCCGGAAAAGGTGAAGGCTATCCGAAATGCACCAAAACCTAAAAATATACAACAACTTAGATCTTTTCTAGGACTAGTTAATTATCATGAACGTTTTATTCGCAATCTACATTCTAAAGCGGCGCTACTACATAGATTAACGAGCGTGAAAGTACCTTGGTAGTGGTCAAATGATGAACAAAATTCCTTCGATGAGGTTAAGAAATTATTGTCATCCGAGGAAACGTTAATTCCTTATAACGCGCAGTTGCCTATAATTTTGGAATGCGACGCATCTGATTCAGGATTAGGGGCTGTGTTGTTACATCAATTAGTAGACGGAAGGACAAAACCTATTTCGTTCGCGTCACGTACTTTATTAGAATCAGAAAAACACTACGCTCCGATTGATAAAGAAGCTCGAGCACTTTTATTTGGTATTGAAAAATTTCATTCATTTATTTATGGTAGAAAATTTTTACTTCGAACTGATCATAAACCATTAGAGCGATTATTTGGGGAGAAACGCGATTTACCTAAAATTTCTAATAATCGTTTGACACGTTGGGCCTGGAAGATGGCTTCTTATGATTTTACAATAGAATATAGACCTGGTAATAAAAATGTAATCGCCGACGCATTATCAAGGCTTCCAATATTAGACACGGAAGAGAATCAAGATTCTAAACATGCTTTGGATATTCGAAGTATTAATTTGGATGATATGCAATTATCAGAAAATATTCTACGAAAAGAGTCGAAGCAAGATTTAATATTAAAAAAAGTAGCCATACATATTCAGCAAAGTTGGCGAAACTTTGATCGTTATAAAGATAAAGAAATAGTTAATTTTTATAATCGACGGGAAGAGTTTTCTGTCGATCGTGATATTATAGAATGGAATGGGAGATTGGTTATTCCTAATAATTAAGAAATGCAGTGTTAGGAATGATTCACCGGGGACATCCTGGGGAAAATGTAATGAAATCTATTTTTAGATTGTATTGCTGGTGGCCCAGATGTGATGTTGATATAGAAAATTTTATCAAAATATGTTCTGGATGCCAGAAAAATAGACCTAGTATTCAAGAAGTACCTCTATATTCTTGGACTGTTGGAAAGGAACCTTGGGAGCGAATCCATATTGATTTTGCTGGACCAGTAGATTCGCGATACTGGCTAATAGGTGTCGATTCCTATTCCAAATGGTTAGAAGTTGATCTAATGCAAAATACCTCTGCTGATGCTATGATAAAAAGACTAAAAAAATGGTTTGCTAGGTTTGGAATACCCAAGTACATTGTGTCAGACAATGGACCACAATTCTTATCTGGGGAATTCCGTAGGTATTGTGATTTAAATAACATACGTCATATACGTTCAGCACCCTATCATCCAAAAACTAACGGATTAGCTGAACGTACTGTACGAACTTTGAAAGCTCGGTATTATGCAACGAGAGATTCAATTAGCGATCCCGAAGAAGCTATGACACAGGTTTTAACAACCTACCGATTGGGAGAGCATAGTTCCACAGGGAGATCTCCTGCTAAAATTATGTTTGGGAGGCAATTGAAAACAAGTCTGGATTGGATCCGACCAAATGCCGAACACGAAATAGTAAGAGCTAATGATAAACAAAGCCTTCATCATGATTTACATTCAAAGGAAAGAGAATTTGAAATCTCACAACCTATATGGTTAAATAATGAAAATACCAATGGTTGGAGAGAGGGAGTAATTAAAGAAAGAATAGGACTTTATTCTTATATTGTTGAATCTTCCGGGAAAACATTACGGAAGCATGCAGATCAGTTAAGAAATCGTTTAGTTATCCCAAATCATGAAAGTTCTTTGGAAGTTACAGAAATGGTTGTGCCAGTGAATGAAGCAAATACAAACACAAATACAAATACCACATTACGTTGCTCATCAAGAAACCGTAAACCTACCAAGAGGTTTATTGAAGAAATCTAACTTTAAATTGTTTGAAGGAAATGTAATAAATTAATAAATGATTATTTATGTATATTGTATATTAAAACAGAATCGAACATTCGAAAAATAATAATAAAAAAGTTTGATGTTAAAAATTAATTTAAATATAAATTAGTAGTCGTATTGTTTATAATTTAGTAGTTGGTATTACTACAGTGGTAAACCAATGATTTGTACATTTATTATACTAAGAAGCCTAAATATCTCTAATCTTTTATTTAAAAATAAAATATTAAAAATACCACTAAAATTAAGTGTTTTATCATGTTTTCGTTAGATATCTATTTCCCAAAGTGTTCTAAAGCACTATCCGATATTTGGAGGACTTAATAAATGGTAGAAGTGGAACACTGGAATTAAGAGTGCTGACTATAATTCTAACCATTTATATGAATAATATTAAATAGATGGAAGTATTAATACGATATAAAATAGTAAAAAAGTAAGTAAACTTAAATAAAATATCATTATGAAGATCTATTTAAGAATAATTGCTACATAAAATAGCTTTATAATTGTTATAGTATAGGTTTCTACAAATAAACGCCCGAAAAGGGTGCCTGGTCAGGTCAAAAAATAAATTTTCTTCTATTATTTGAAATTTTCTTGAAATATAGAATATGCTCAATATGGCTTAATTAAAATAAATTTTCATATTAATTCAGCGTATTGCTTCAACTCATTATATATTTTATATCTGTTATTATTCCAAATCAACTCATGAAATAGCAATGGAATTTGCCACTTCTTATAAATCTCCAAATGTTGTTTATGACTTGGATACAACAGGCGGACTTATGGAAGTATTTGAATATTTAATAAAACTATTTCAGAAAATATACTATTAAATAGGAAATACAAAGGATAATAGCTCCACCTAATTATGATATAAAGAAGGATAAAAAGGGTGGAATATCTAACTATGGCTATAGAAAACCAAAAGCAAATAATCATGAATATTGTGATAGTTGTTTTGAAGGTGGAGATTTAATTTGCTGTGATAAATGCCCTGTATCTTTTCATTTACAATGCTAGTAAATATTTTAATATTTATTTTTATGCTTACATTTTTATAAGCGATCCACCTTTTTCTGAGGAAACAGTGCCAAAAGGATTTTGGATGTGTAGAAAATGCAAAGCTCAATCAGTATGCATTTTTATTCTCACTTTCTATAAATTATTGTTTAATAGTTTGATGTTTAATTTAATAAATAATATATATTTTTAATGAATTCTACGATTTTATTTATATGAGAAATAAAAAAATATTTTTACATTTTTTTTTCAATAATAGGAGTTGTTAAAAAGCACTCTTCTTAAATCAAAGCTTAGTACATATTCAAATTTACCCAATAAAAGCAACAATAATATTAATAATCAAAATGATTTGAATTTTGATGTAAACACTTTTGATAAACTTGGCAATATTAAACTTTCTAAAAAAGGAATATGTGACAACAAGGATAGCTATAATAAAATTAGGCCAAGAACACCACCAAACAATATCATTAATTCCAAACCAAATTTTACTATTATGACAAACAATATTATTACTGCAAATAGTGTTAAAAATAATCTTGCATCCCATCAAATAAATAAAAATTTGCATGGTAAAAATAATTTACCATTGCCTAATTTATATAATAATAATAATGCTATAAATCAAAATTTAATGAACAATAATCTTGACAATAGTAACAATGCCAATAAATCTTCAGAACATTTCCCCATATATAAAGAAGTATTTTTTCCAGAATTATGTTTTCCGGATCATAATTCAGAATATTCAAAAATATTTGGTGATACTTACCAAAATTATAAAAACAAAGAAAATTCATTCTATCAAGAATTAGGTTTAAAAGCTTGAATTATTTTATTATGCTTTACTTACGAACTATATATAAATAGAAAAACCTTAAATTATTATTAAAATTGCTTTAGCAATAATTAGAATTCTTTTATCTATTGAAAAATAATAATATTATGGAATATTTATCATTTTTATTTTTATTTTATAACATAATATTTGATAACATTATATTGTTAAAATTATGATTATAATTTATATATGAATAATCTTAAAAATCAGAGAAGCACTGATATCACATTTTGGTTGGTGTAATTTATAATATTATCTATTTTTTATATATTTATTTATCATACTCACACAAAAATCTGTAAAAGAAATATAAATTAAGTTAAAAGATATAGAGAAAGAATTATCTTTATTTTCTTTCTTGTCAGTTTAGAAATTTATTTTTTGGCTGAATATGCCTGTTATTAATTGGTCAGAATAGATGGCCAATACTCTAAATTGTGACTTATACCAATGACAAATATTCAAAACCAATAATTAACTTTTCTTAAATTTATACAACATTATGCTATGAATTTATAAAAAATATTGTATAAAAATTTTTAAACTGATAAAAGCTTTTAATCTATTTACTTTCTAAATGTAGTTATATGAATTTCATAAATTAATTATAAATGATAAATAAAAAAAGTAATATTCATGAATTATATATTTGCATTTAAAAAAAATATTTTCCATTTATAATATTGGTTTAGGTATGATATCAGTTAGGGGATCTGCAAAGCCTTATCCTTTGCATAAATCCTGTTAAATTTTTTTTCCTGGCCCATTAGAGTTTTATGAAAAGTCTAACTTGGATGTTAACCAATTTTGTACAATTTTTCTGCAGATTCATATTTTTTTTCAATGTCAATCAAGGCTCTTATATCTCTTCTTATATGGCTACATATTTTTTTCTACAATCACCATTTCTAAATCAATGGTATTTGATATATGTATTGCGTATTTGTAATTGGATCATATCATAAGTTAATTTTTTTGTGAATTTGCTATATTAATTTGAGATATATTATTTTAGCTAAACAGCTTTTAAAATGAGCAATATTATAATAAACAAAATATTAGCTTTAAAATTCAAAAAAAAAGATATCGAAATTTCAATGCTCAGGCTGGTCTAATAATTTTACGAAAAAGAAATTTTTGAGGACTTGCCTCATTTTATATGCATAAATTGTTGAACCACAAATTTTATGTAAATTGCCTGGCCCATTGAAATTTTTTTAAAATTTGCCCTACCCAGCCTGTGGCCAGACTTTTGGCTGAGCCAGGTTGATCTTTGCTATCAGCTATGTAACAGTGCATCTCGATTTTTGGATATTGGCTACTCATAGTGATTGTTTTACCTGAAATACAATGACACTGATCATAAACTTTTAAATTCTTTTTCAAAATAAGTTTTAGGGCTACAAAATGATATTTCCATTTATAAATTTGGACCAAATGTTTATAGAGTAATTTATGATTCTTTAAACCTCACATGCATTGGACTTTGAGAGCCCATAACTCAATATTCATTTATTTTAGAGTTTATTTTAATTTATGTTAATTTTACAACATATATAATCACCAAGTTTTACTAATTTAAAAATAAGGTATGTCAAATTGTTGGCCTATTTTATATGGAATCACCCAATGATGAATCTCTATTATAAATGGAATTGATAAAATATTCCATAATGATATAGTTATTTTTCGACATTTTATGTCATTTTAAATACAAGAATGTTTATTAGCATTTTTAAAATTTAAACATCATCCATAAAATTTATAATTTATATTATTCCAATACAAATATTTCAAGAAAAAAAAATGGATTATCATAAATTACCATGCAATGAATCCATATGCCAAGAGGATGTTAAAATCAAATGTAAAACACTGTTACAACCAATAGACAAATTGATACAAGAAGCTCAAATGAGCAATCCCACGGAGTTTAAATTGCCAAAAAATTTATCCACTTGCCCTTACATCTTTCCTGGTACTAATTTGTCGATACATATTTTTTCCTACCAAAATTGAAATAATTTATCAAATATTTGTTTTAGAATTTTAATTTAATATGCTATTGATTTATCAATAGCATTCAATTGTTTATTTTCGTGATTTAACTCTATGCCTGTTTTTGATGCATCTTCCTCTGAGAATTAGGTTATTCTATATCTACTTTTTAAAATTAACTTATTTACATAAATGAATTTTTTATAATTATACTATTCCATTTACATTAACAAATTCGGAATATTTAAAAAATAAATCAAATTAAATCCGAAACAATAACCATCTTAGTGAAAACAGTGGAAACTTATTTTCTTTAATTCCTCTCCTGTTAAATTACAAAAAGTAGAAATAGAATAGTCTTATTCTCGGCTGACGATATGTTTATATCTGAATTCTTAAGTTATTATTGATTATATTTAAATAAAATATGATATATATATAACACTAATAATAATGCTTAATTTATTTCAAATCAAATTGGAAAAAATAGGTTATACAAAGGTTAAAACTATATACAACGATGTAACTCCATTTGCCACGTCCAACAACACCCACACTCATTTACTCACAGACCATCACCCTAACTGTCTTCCACCCTCATTCAGCTTAAATCTTAACAGCTCTTACTCAAACCCCACTATCAAATCAAGCGAACCAAACAATGGACACAAATCCATATCCTCTATCAAGGAAATCTCAAAATTTTCGGGTATTAACAATAGCAGTTTAGATCATACTCGCTACACCAGAAATAATCACCAAAATACACAGTCCAATCGGGTCACCACAGAAACAGACGTATTCCAAGTTACGCTGCCACCTAAATTGTGCTTTGTTTGCAAGAGGTAAGGAAAATTTTATGGAAGTTTAAAAAAAAAAAAGTAGCTATAATAAATTTATAAAATCTCTGCTAAACTTTGACCAAAAGTTCATTAGGAGATTTCAGTAAAATTAACATTTATATCTCACTTGTTTATCTATAAGATGTTGATCCTGATGACCACAGCGAACCGGCCAAACCATTTTAACTCTCCCCCCTCACCCCTCCTGAACTTAAAAAAAGAAATGATTGAAATTGATAAATTACTTGTTCAATTCCCAAATTTAGGGCTGTGCCGATCCCCAAATTTTTTTGACCGGATATGTATACAAAACGGATTCGATATTTTACTGTTTTTTATTTACCATCCATCTTTTAACCAATGTCATATAAAAGTCAATATTTTCTATCCAAAAAATGGCAAATATAAACTTATAAAATATGGGCTTTTTTGTGCCCTATGTTTAATATTTTAAAATTATTTTCTTGTTGTAAAAAAAATAGTATTTCGGTTTCTTTTTATTTTTTATCGGATTGGGCCGATATTTCATTCATTTTATTTTTAAAAATCGGCCTTTATTTAAAATAGAATATAAATATTCTTAAACTTGGAAATAGATCATTTCAAAGGAAAAAAAAGAATAAGGCCGCATTTATAGTAAACGCGGTTTAACGTAGCGTTATTACAAAATAAAGCCAATAATTAGGTATAAATTTATAAATATGAAGCGTTACGATGATAACGCTATGAGGAAATTTGAAAAACCTATGTTTGCGATGAGTAGATAAATAAATATGCGATAGGATTATAATAATAATGGTGAATTCGATAAAAATGTATATGATTGATTTTTCATAAATATTATATAAAATAATTATCTCTATAGCTCTATCTTAAATTAGTTTTTATAACTGCAGTTGTAATAACGTTGTGTTAATTAACGCAACACGCGTTTACTATTAAATGATTTTTGCTGAAACTAAACAATATTCGAATATTTTTGCATCTCAACCAGAATCCCTTGATATGACCCTTAACCCAATGTGAAAATTTTTAAATAAAAATCTCCCTTACCATTAAGCCTATTATTTTGTAAAATAATTCATTACAAAAAGAAACTTATAAAATTTTGTTTATGAATATTCAATGTCTAGACTTGTTGTGCGCCAAAAAACCCAATTTACGAATACAAATTTTTTTAAAAAAAAATTAATTAAATACGAAATTTATTTTTTAAATTTACAAGGAGCTGCGCCAAACAGATGCTGTTGCAATGCGATTACTGTCCTCTATTATTTCACATGGATTGTCTGGAGCCCCCTCTGACCTACGTTCCGCCCAACGTTCAATGGATGTGCCCCAATCACCCAGAACATTTGCTCGTGAGTTCTTAAACCCCGCGTCTAAAATATTCCAAATCCTATTTCTGAAACTAAGCCCGATTTTTTTAATATATCCTGGGATCTCGCTGATAATTCTCTTTTAATTACTCAGCGATTAGGACCTGAACATACTTTTTGAATTTTTTTCAAAAATATTTGAAATCAGAACCAGAACCCCTTTTAGTCCAGGTTCCTAACTCCGATTAAGATGCACGAATTTTTGACAATGTGATACAGAGATGATACTCTCGATGAGCTTATTTACGCCAATGAGATATGATCAATTCGTTCATTTAAATATGTATCAATACAAATCAGCAGGTAGAACGCCATTTTTGTTACCCATACACTAACAGATTTTTATGGCTTCAAAATTATTATAACGAATGAATGAAACCGGGTACCTATTATATTTCCATTAATTTATGTAAATAAACATTATTTTTTAAAAATGTTAAATGTTACAGTTTCGCCGGCGATTTTATAAACGAAAGCTGATTGATGATTTCTTTTTGGAAAAAATATAACATATTTTCTTTATTATTTCGTTTTTCAATTTATGCGCAGTACATCAAAAAATAAAATTATTTTTTGCAAAGGAAAAAAAATATTGGAAGGACAGCAATTCTTTGACTGATCGAATCAAAATTTGGGACATGATATCGGATTCCGCTTTTAATAGAAATTCCGGAGCCGAGTTAAGTGGTTCCTTCGCTTTTAAACAGAAATTTCTGCGGAAAGTTAATACCAAGTACCCTCTTTTCAACCGAAAATTAGCTGTTCGACTGAGGCCTAGAGCTTTTGTAAGAAGAGAATAAATATTATATATTTATTTTACTAGGGATATATTGATTTTATATAGGCCGATAGTCATAAATTATCATAATGTAATGAAGCCGTAATTAGAAATCTTATGGAGGCTTACATGCCTTGATATATAAAGGGTAAAATCAATAAGTCTTATAAATAATTATTGAAGATATTTAAGTTTTGATAGTATGAAAATCAAAATGAACGACATTCAACCCTCGCGAATCCAATTGATAGTCCGTGCTTGAATTAACTAATTTTTTTAGATAAGTTAAATGTTTGTATCTTCTGTTCATGTTTAATATTTGTCCCCTTAAATTTTTTGTCCTTAAAATATTGTTAAAAATTGTACTTTGATTAAATATGGTGTTGTTTTTTTTTACTCATTGGAATCTAATAATTTAAATCTTAAAATGGGATCTCTATGGCAAAAATTTCTGAAATATTGATGAATATTCGTGGAACTATTCTTGATATCATATATTCTACCCCACGTCATTGTTAATCGGGCCACCCTTGATTCTTAGACTATAATAAATTTCAAATTAAAAAATAATTATTAGTTTCTTTAAAAAAATAAAGTCATAATTAGTATTATTGTAAAATTTTAATTTTTATAAAATAAAAGTAAAAGATAGTCATAATGTTACCTATGTATAGATATCCACCAACTACTAAGATTGTCATATTAATTCATCCATTCATTATCACGCCAGAAATTGCACTTCGTATTTCATCACCCACCAGGAGTCTATCCTATTAAAAATTATATCGTCTGCCTTGTTTTTATAAAAAATTATATTATAATTTAATCAATTTATAGCCTTTTTAAGTTTCTTTTATTCAAATGGGTTAGAATAAGACCTCAAATATTCAAATTCATTAGATCATTATTAATTCTTTATGGCTGAGATTTAGCAAACCATTTTTTATAATTGAAAAAAGATGTTTATTATGTTTTTTTTCCATTTTTTTCTAAATATCTCATATTTTTAATCAATATTAATTAATAAAACTAAAATTTTTGAATAGTTCATTATAGGATATATATATATTATATTGCTGAATTTTTTATAAGACCAGCATTCTAATATTTTTTAGGGTAGTATTATAAAATAAATTTTATAAGGTTGGTTATTTTATTATTAAAACATTTTTGTTTCATGTTATGAATACCCTATATTTAAGATTGAAATAAACAATTATCGGTCAATGTAACTTTATATGGTCAATATCTCACTTTAAAAAAAAATTGACTGTGATAATATTCAAAAACAGGCGATATCTTTTTTAACACAATGTTAGGTTTATAATTTATATTTTTTTTTATCTACAAATCTTTCTAGATACCCAAAGATATAGAAGATTTGTACGAAAGAATAGATAAAAATATTCACTCTCACCCGTCTCCTACTCCTCAAAATATAAAGAAAACTTCTGTTAGATCACCTATCACGAATTCAGAATATACGACGGACTACGATATGGAAGAAGCCGCTAAAAGTTGTTCCATAAATACTGAATTCGATTCGAAAATCCCGAATATTTTACTCGATGACGGAAGGTCTACTGATAGATTGACTTCTGATCAAGAACAAGTTTTTTTTACATATAATTTTTTTTTTAAATTATCAAGTTTGAATAATATCTTATTCTTCTTCCAATAATTTGGTATATTCATTCCTTATTCCTTAAATATAACCAATTGATTGATGAAAATATTTGAATATTCTCTTTAAATAATCCTTTATTTTAAATTAAAAAAAAACTCGTTAGTTTATCTCTTCTCTCTTATCCTTACACCACAAATACGAACCTTCTACCCCTTCCCATCCAATCAATTCCAATTCAACGCACTCGGCAAATAGCCTAACACTCTTGATTCACAAGCTTTTAGATGATCTTAAACCTAAATCTTCAATTCTGCCAACTTCGTCAAAGATCATCGATCCATTGCATTGTTTTAGCCCTACGTTGTTAGTCAATGAATCACGTTACGAACATGTTAGGTTGACCGGTAAACTCGCAAATATGTCTAATCGACACGAAAATCTTACTGTTGTTAACTGCATCGATTCACACTCCGATATTCGACCGACTAAACCGAATACTTTAAATTTCGCTGATAAAAAAATTTTCGCCAAAATTCCGCGACTTAACCTCCCCCAAAAAACAAATCACATTATTTACGATAACCTACCCCCTATGAACGTTAATCCTCGTCTTCCTCTAGGCGATTTAAACCCTAGTGACGTAGAGGGTGGAGCTTTCAGACTTTTGAACGGGGATATTGGACAAATTACTAATGGTTACAGAGAAGACAGGATAGATTTTACTACGTTTGATGTTCCGGAGAATCAAATTACAATGAAAAAAATTGCCTATAATAACTGTAACGACGATTCCAAAAATGTGGCCAAAGAATCGGTTATAGAAGCTGATAAAGGGAATTTCGTAAATCATGTCGAAAATATTTACCATGGTTGGAATGGAGATGTATTACGGGAGGAAGAATCAGACAATCAAAGTTTGTGAAAATCTTTCTTTTTTTAAATAATAGAGTCCTTTTTCAAAAACATAATGTTCTCCTCTCATCTAAATTAACGCCTGAAAAGGACATTATCTGCCTGAAAGATGACATGCGGTTATAAAAACTATATATGGCTCAAAACCTCATATCACATTTTTTAGGTTTATTAAAACCCTAGATTTCAAGTTTTCATATTTAAAATCCATTTTTCGTTAAGGAATTAAAAAAAATTTGGGGTAGAAGTTTACTTACAGAGGTTTATTGTTTAAAAGTGGATCGAAATCCAAATTTTAAATATAAAAATTATATATCGAAAATTTATCATTTTATATTTTAATGAAGTATTTTTTTTAAAAAACACTGCCTAGAATCTATGCCATTCAAACATAAATCGAATGTTATCCTTGATCAAGAGTATTTTCTCATTGGTTCAGGTTTCAATTGCTATCATAAACATTTTTAAGATATTGCCACTCATTTTGACAAAATTTTTTTTAACGAATTAAGAAAACATTTGATAATATTTAGCATAAAATACACAAATCACCACAATTAAAGTTTGTTTAAAGTGTAGAACAATTAAAAAGGAACCTTGGGACTTGAATACCTTCAATTATAATACTATTATAAATTTTATTTTGAAACATAGGTCAGGAAAATAATCTCAATGCATCGACCTTTAAAACATGTAAATTTATATCCACCAGGCATTGTTGCATTTTATATGATCAAGTAAAAAAAAATTATTATTCTTTCTCAAAATCAGAGTTTGTAAATCCTAATTTTAAAAAAATTTGTAAGTGGCTTTTTATTCCACCTTTATTGAAACCGGTTCATTTAAATCAACCTCTGCTCAGGCACCTAAAAAATGTTAAGGGTTTTCCTAAATTTTTTCCGATTTCTGTTTTAAACTCCTCTTTATAATTATTTGATTTTATTAAATAAATATTATCTAAGTAAATCCTATTCTTAAAATGATTAATAAATTTATTTATCTTCTTCTTTTTTTCGTTAACACTAATATAGATCTTGAATACTCATCAATTACTCAATCTTAGCCCTTACGGGACCACTTTAATCAAAGCTTCTGTCAACTTTTCAAATTCAACTCACACAAACTTCAATGATAATCACACCAAGACTCTCAGTTTTTTAGAACAGGGGCTTGGACCGTCTTGTTATTGTTTAGATCTCGAAAAGGATTACAGTTCTATCACGGCAGAATTTACTACCGACAGTTTTGCTACAAATCAAAAAATCTTAGCCCTTTCCTCGAATGGTTTTCCCACTGACCTACAAAGTGGGGATATTATTAAATGTGGTTGTATACACTTTTTATACACTTAGCATCATATAATAAATTTTGCCACCCCCATTTAATTACCTTAATCTAGACAAATTTTGGTGTAAAAATCCTTTAATTATAAACGCACACTGCTATTATAGAAAATCGCGACATCTTGATATCTTCAATTTATAAAAAATTAGAATCCTAACCTACCTCCCTAAATGAAATATTTTAATTTAAGATTTTATAATATATAATTTTAGCAACTCATTATGTTATTTTCTATAGTTTTTTTTATGCCTTACTATTTTACACAATATTCTAGACATTGCTACTGCCCCTATACGTTTCCCCAAAAAACTTACAATTTTTGAATAATTGTAAATAATGTCTTGATGTGATGTACTAATTCTTTCTTTATCTGTGCCTACTTATTAGAAAAAAAACATATTTTTCTTTATCATCCTTAATATATTATCATTCATGTATATTATTACAATTTTTTAAAAATGTTTATTTGTAGATAAAACTTGAATAACTTTTTTAAAGAATAAAATTTAAAGATTTTTTTTTACATAAATTAAAATCATTGACCATTTTTGATATATGGTCTCCTTTAGGATTGGCCTTACCTTCTTATGAATTTGAAAAAAGACATCGTTTGAATTTGCCAATTAAGATGGAATAAAAGCGAATATTATTATAGATTTAAGAGGTTGGCATGGCCCAAAAGCACGAGAGAATTTCGCATTTTTTTTTATAAATATTAGAATTTTAGACAAATTTATGTCCTCATTTCCTTTCATAAAAATATATTGTGGGACGAAACTCCTATTTTAAAATTTTCGCCGGGAGGTTTGGATCTGCTAATCTCTAATAGATTTATTCTAACATTTACTAGTTTTTATAGGGTTTCAAGTTCAGGGTTGGGCAAATTTTCAAAAAAAATGTGTTCGAATATAATTATAATTACATTTCAATAAAAAGTATTTGAATATAAATACAAATACTTTTAAAAAAATACTAGAAATGTAGTGCCAATAACAATTTTTTTTATACTTAAACTAACTTTATTAGCCTTTTACTAAAAAAATATGTAAATGATAATATCTTCTCTAACAATTTACATGTATTTTTTTTGGAATTATATCACAGGCATTAAATTATTTTTATAACATTATTTAATATAATAGAACAAAGATAAAACAAATAATAATTTATTGCTTTTATTTTGTTTTTGATTCTGGAAGATATTTTGAAAGACTTTCCATCTTCTTCGTCTAGTTGTTCGTTCCTTCCTTTCGAAAGACCTCACATTGAATAAGGTTAAATGCAGGGTATGTAGGGGCTCTTCCAGATAGCACTCTGCCTAAAATAAATTATAAACATCTTATCTTAATTAGCCGGAACTGAAATCTGAATCTACTTCTAGCTCTATAGCATTTTCAGTCAAATTTATTTCTTCAATTTCACTTTCAGTATCCAGGGGCGGACTGGCCATAAGACCAGGTGGGCATTTTGCCCACGAGGCCGCGAGAAAATGCCGATTTTTGAGGCCGATCAGTGGGAAATATCAAAATAGAGGCCGATCAGAAAAAAATATTATTATGTTCACATTATTTTCTCTTATCATTTATTTATTTTTAATGATATCTCTATGATTTGAATATCACATTCCTTGAGAATTGTCATGTCGTATACTATATTTTAATGCATAATATATCATAACATCGCTTGACGCTACACATTATTACCACGTTCTTTTCTTTGTTTTTTTTCAAATGAAGTGAAAACGCTTCCGTTTGAATAGAGTGAAAACTAAGTATTTATTGTAGAAATAATATAGCCAACATTTTTTTGTTCTTAATTCATTGATCAAATACCAGGTCGGTGAATCAGATAAAAGGATAGATGCTTGGGTGAAACAGAATAATTTATCTGGCCAAAATAAGTTGAGAAGGCTGCAAAAAATAGGTGAGATAAGGTGGTGGGCACGTGAAAGCCCTTAGATGGATATAAAAGAGAGCTTGCTCCCAATAACAATAAAGGCACTTCAATTTATAATAAATAATTTGAGACAAAAACTTGATGATTTATGTAAATTTAAACTCTATGTACAGCTATAATAAATTTGCAAATTTTTAAAATAATGGGGCCACTGTCATATTTTCAAACTAAAAGATTAGGTACTTTGTCAGCATGGAAAATGAAAGAAGATGCTAAATCTTCTGTATCATCGATTATTACATCGATTCAAAATAAAGCAATAAAATGGCTTCTAATTTAAATGAAGCATTTTCATATTTATAGCTCCCGGAAAGTATCTGAATACAAAATGCTAAATAAAAAGATCGAATAGGAAGAGAATATATAGTGACAAATGCCAAGATGAACGTCCTCAAGAATCGATTGACTTTTATTGGTTTAAACTATTTCGTTCTATAATTGATCAAATTATAAACAGCTTGTCGGAATTATTTTCTGCGAATTGAGGGCTTATCTTGAATGTGCAATATTTGCATCCAAGACATTTTGATGAAATGAATAGTAAAGGTATTTCTGAAAAGGCCTTAGAAAAACTGGCACAATTGGCATATATATTGAGTGTTAAATTTCATAACGAATTATGTTCATTTGCCAGTGTATTCGAACATTTGGTAGCAGAATTAAATGAAACAGACGATAATATCGTATGTACAAGTGAGGAGTCAAAAGAAGAGTTGGAATATTACAATATGATAATAAATCTGAGTGTGATAACAAATGTAACAAGTGTTTAATATGCGTTTATGAAATTCTTAAAGATACAATATGCATACAAGTGACACTAATTTATTTTTAGCATATGAATACATTTTAACTTTATCATTTACGCAGGTTAATTGCGAGAAAGCATTTAGTAAATTAAAAATTATAAAAAGCTGAGAGCTAATATTGTCCAAGAAAAATTAAAGCGTTTTTAATGATGTCAGTTGAACGAGAACTATTAGCATAGATTGAACTAGAAGATATTCCTTTATATTTGCGCAAAGGTTCAAAGTTAATGAGAGATTTATTAACGTAAAAATTATATATTATCTTAATTCTTTTATTAGAATCTTATTAATATAATTTACAATATGATCGGTGCTGATTTTATAAAAGTGCAGCAATTTTATTCTCTGTAATATTGTATAACTACAATAATTTTATATTTATAATTAATTGATTTAATATATTGAGTATGCATTTTTTTATATTTAACATGTGATGTATGATTTTTGCAATATAGTTGTAAATCTAATATAAATTATATATTTTCAATGAATATTATTTTATATAGGTAATAAATATGATTTTAGATGTGCATTTTTAAAAAATAAAATATATGATTATCGTATAATATACTATTCTTTTTTTTACTAAAAATTTAAATCGTTTGAACTTATTTTCAAAAATTAGGAAGTAACAAAAATCATGTATATCAAAGAAGCCATTTAAGGGAACCCGGTCGAAGACCGGGCAAAAGTGGGCCGAAGGCCCGCAAAATGGGGGTATGTGGACGGAGCCCCCATATAAATGAGGTCGCTATAAAAAATGGCCACGAGGCTGTAGCTTTCAACGTTGCTCATTTTAATAAAATAGAATTAAACAGATATGATCTTCTTTTTTTTATCCCCTCTAACTCGGATCGCAAAATTAATGTTTGAAATTAATTCTGGACTTTACATTTATTAAATAATTTTTTAATAAAACTTTAAGTATTAATGGCTCCATTTAAATACTAATAATTTTGAAAAATTGTTCTGTAATATCGAGTGAAATGGATGGAGTTAGAACCTTATAGTAATCAAAGGATAGAACGCTGCGGTTATAACAGAAAGGTTAATAATCGCTTAAAAATGGATTTAGATTGTAGAAATGGTAGTACCTTAAAGAAATATAATTATATTTAATTAAATTTGAAAAATAAGTATATACATGTTTTATTTCTAGGAACTTTTCTTTATATAACAAATTAAAATCATTATTTAATAATATAATATAAAATGAACAATTTATAAAATAAGATATTTGAATAACATTTCAAGTTACGTCTTATTCTTAAAATAAAATAAGTAATAAATAAAAAGCACTTGTGGAATATTGAAAAGTGCTCAAAATAATAACATTTAAGTCAATATTTAAATAATATTGTTAACCAGTTAAGCCAAAATAATTATCATATAAAAGGTAAACGAATTATAATAATATTAAATATCTCGAAACTGATCTATAACATAGATACAAATAAATCGTCTAAAAACGTATCTAGATTACAGATAATTGGTTTAATTTATTAATTAGTTCCCAATAAATATTTTTATAATTGTTTTGTAATTTATCAATAATATCGATAATTATCTTCATATACTATATTAAATATATTTTTAAAGAAAGGTTATATTATTGAAAATTCAACATGCCCTAAGGAGTAATATAATTAAGATCATAAAAAAAAGTGAAAAAATTACAAGGTGGTAATTTGTGAATTCCAAGATAAAAGTTAAGTTTAAAATTGGATTAGAAATTATATATAAAAGTAGGTGAATTTTGTTTTCATAAATTTAGTGACAAAAGTAACCAATTACTTTTATATGTTAATTATTTTCATCATTAGTTATATTTCTCTATATGATTTCCCGAAGTTAGATTTATTGTTTATTAAACATTATTTCATACCTATATTAAGTCCTCCTGTAGAAATTTTGTTTAGTCTAGGAAAACTATTTTTGGAGATAAACACATCTTTTAGACCGAAATTTTGAAAATAGATGATTGTTAAAGAGAGTCAAATAAAAAAATCGTTAAAATAAGAAATATAAATATGTTATATATTTTTTTTCATTGCAAATAAATTTTACATAAAATGACTTGGACATTGTTTACATTTTACATTCTATTAATTCCATTCCTATTAATCTACATTATATAACCAAAAAATTGACAATAACCTTAAAATTTTATATTGTTTCACTACACAAAAAAATTATCATGAAGGCCATTTTTTTTGATTTTATACTATGTTCTTTTTGATTCCTATTTATAATTTATATTAATTATTCAAGCAAAAAAAAAAGAAATTAAATAAAGACCATTAAATACATTGGTCGACTTTTACACTAAAATCCTTAAATTAAGTCTAAGTGGCCTATATACCCATGTATTATATTATATTATGTTTAAGTAAATATTTAATTATAAAAATATTATATATAATTATAATCCACGATCAAATAAGCTTCTTAGAGCTGAAGTCCATAGGTGTATCCAAGGAGGGGGGGGGGAGTATTTTCCTTAGGAATTCTAAAATTTTGGTAAATATTGACACTTTTTTTTAAATCTGTTAAATTGTGGATTAAAGTGGGAACAATATTTAAGCTATATAAAACGATTTTAATTTAAATCAGAATGGCCTCTATAATTTGTAATGCTTAAAAG